CCTCTATATATTTAGTCATGCAAACACACTAACATTGTTACAAGCATCAACATTTACAGTATTGTCCTGATTTGAGTCTTTTATTTAAATTATGTGCTGATGCACTGTAACCTTGGACGTTACCACTGCAGTTTAAGTGCAGTCAAAACAAATATCAGAGGGATGTTAAAAGAAGCACAGAGCACTGCTGATTGATTTGTCCTTGTCTCCCATGAAGCACGAAAGGGAATATTTTCCCCTCAGATCTGAGAGCAACCTTTTTGTCATTGGTTTCACAATAATACAATAGAAGCAAATCTCTTTTCTAGGAAACCCTACCACCACAGGATAACACTGTGTTGGGGTTGACAACGGTCTTTTCTTTATATTTACAGACTTGGCCTGGCTTTTCTTTTCAACTGTAATATCACTCAAGAATATTGTGCAGAGATATATCTGTAAAATCTGTAATCTTTATCGAGTCATAATGGCGAGAAAGATCCTTCATCGCTGATTGCTGCTGCTCTCTCAGCAGAATATTTCCCAGAGCTGTTGTAATTGGGACCATAATACGTGGAGGAGATAAGAGTGAGGCTCTTAAAGGCACCAATGACTTAGTATTTCATGACGTGTTACCATGGAGATGCCACTTGTTAAGATCACTCAAACACTTTGAAAACTGAAAAACAGTGTTTTTGGTTTTATGAACCGCTGATGACTCAGAGCAGAGGAGAAATATTACACTACACAGTAGGGATGTCACACTACTAGACATTTAGTACTCAATAACAATACCATTGGGATTACAACATTCTCAATACCAATTTGGTACCACAGTTAATAAACTAAAACAAAATAATATATCACATATACTTCAACATACACTCCTTTATCACAATTTGCATACTGATTTTGCTGAGAAAGGTAATCATTCCCTTTGTATCTATGTGAAAACATCTTCCAACAACTTTATTTATTCAAGTTTCTTGCAGAAAAGGAAATGTTATATCAATACTATTGAGGAAAATATATTTATATATTATACAAATTTGCCCAAAAGTAATTTTTACTGAATAGAGCTTGAATGCACCATAAGACTCTTTGGAACCTACGCTCACCTAACTGCTGGAATTAGCTATAGCTTTATGTTTGCATAATTTAACCCAAATGAATGATCACAATGTAGCATTATGGGAACAAAATAGAGTGTGTCCCCTGAACACCTCAATAGTAGGGTAATTATGTCCCAAATATAGTTCTCTATTGCTTCCGGGAAGACGGGTCACAATTAGTCTTGAACTCAATGGGCACTTATGGTACTTAGGGTACTGGGATGTCACATATTTAGTATCTCGGCATACTGTACACTTGCTACATTCTTACTTTACAAGTCCCTTAGCTGCAGTATTTTTTTGTACCATCACTTTGATGACTTCACAAACTTTGGATCTGATGTAACGCTATCCAGCCTTTCCTCCTTTTAAGTAAGTCATACAAATAAAACAGAATTGTCAATTTGTCAACACATTCATTTTGCTCCATATATAATGTATGCATAAACAGTTTGAAACAAACTGGCCATAACAACTCTCCAATTGTGTTAGAAGTGCTCAGATCCTTTACCTCAGTAAAGAATGAAAAAATAACTGCTCTGAAAAACCACCGTGAAAAGAAATCATGACAAGTTCTGCATTCAGGATTTCACTTAAGAAAAGTACAAAAGAATAAACATCTTAATGTACATCAAGTATTTAAATAAAAGTATTGCTTGGGCAGACTTTTTAAAAATGTCTTTGATTCCTGCCATGTTTATCTGTGGACAGTTTCAGTTAAAGAAACCTCTGAAACTTCCTTCTGAAGTGACCGCCAACGCGGTACTACCCATGTTTAGGCTATAGGCCGCAACATATCCTCACATGAAACCCTTTTGGCCATTACAAAGTTGAAACTTCATCATCAATTTTTCCACCAGTGTCGCTCGGCTTTGTAAAGACCTTTTTATAAAATTGCTTTTATGTAAAGTCATATGCTTAAAAGCAAAAAGGTTCCACTGTCACGGCGAGCCATTGTGATTCCTCTCTGTACAATGTGCGCTTTATAGGGCATATTATCTATATAATCCCTTCCGCTTTCCTTCTGCACTATCTGTTCCTACAGTGTTGACTTTGTCCGCTATCTCACACTCAACAAACTTGCTACCGTACGGTTTGGCAGAATGCCTTTCCTCAGTCACCACCACACCTATAGCAAACGGGTGCAGTTGTGCCGTTAAACCGGGATAGTTGCTAACAGTCTCTAGTCAATGCAATACACGTCACTTTTGCCGATTCCTCTGCTTTCTTTGCCTTTTTACTGCAATGTGATTCATGGTAAACATCTGCACTGGTATAACAGGAGCGACTTAGGGCCAAACTTGGTAGAGTAATTCATTTTGCGTTCACATAAAGGTTTCTAGATTAATCGTGAGCATTACCGCATTAATGTTGAGTGCCCTAATTTTTATACGGTAACTCCATGATTTCTGCAATTGCTATATGTGATGAGTAATGATTAACTTCTGAAAACTGACAATGTAACAAGAATTATCTAGAAACTTGATTCTTAGTCGAATGGAAAGTAAACACTGGGAATTCTTGTGACTGTGTATAAAAAATACTTCTGCTTACATTGAAGTTTTTGGAAGTAGGCTCCTCCCCAAACCGTTGCAATGAGTTCATTGATTAACTGACCCAACGGACAAAAATATTAAAATAAAATGCATATTGCATATTGCTAATCCTAATTTCAAAAGAAGACCCACAATGCATACAAATCTTATTCCATGTGTCATTCATTATTGTGTTATACACTGGATGAGCTCCAGTAGTGTTGCCTTATTATACTGTTGCTGATTTCCGCCATGACTGTCTGTGAGGAAGTGGCAGCTAATTATACTGTGCAGCTTCTGTATGTATTTATTGATAGGAAACATTCCTCCCGATGAGGGTGAATCTTCGCCTCTTACAGGCTCCACCAGTCATTATACAGAGACGGAGATGAATTAAAATAGAGGGTGTGGGAAAATAAAAAATGTTCTCAATCTCTGTAGAGTTTAAAGATGATTAGCTGCCACTCAATATAAGGAAGATGGTAACTGCAGACTGGATAGAATAATGAATGGTATGACATTTGGAGAAAATGGCTCCTCTTCTAATATGTCCTTCAATTATATAGTGGGATCCAGCATTAGAATGATCAGATGTTTGTTGGATTCACACAAGTTATATTAAAATGACTGCAGTATTTTCTCCTCAACCTGTTTTGCACAGCCATGGATGTACATTTCATTAGAGTAATGAAGCATAGCTTATTTTCTTATCTCTATTTTTCTTGTCTCGTCTTTATTGTTATTTTATTTTTAACGTTCTAAGATTCTTAATGTGTGTCGGAACAAGCAGAGAGGATACACACGGAGCATTTAGTTCTAGTTTTTATAATTCTCATCTGAATATAGCAACCCTATAAATACTACACAGGAAACGGAAACAGCGTCAAATAAGCGCGTCGGCAAAAATACCGTCACTACTGATAATACCATTTATCCTTTTCTGAGGTCAGAATGACTATATATTATAGGACTATATATGTTGATACAAAGCTAGGCTACTATACGGAGTCCCTCAAGGGTCATGAAAAAAAGTCGGGACAACGGTTTAGTTTCTCGCGGTAACAAGAAACGTTCTTAAAAAAAATATGTTTCTGTAAACCAGTCTGCCTTGATCTATGAATTCAAGTCAGTGACTCTCAAAGTATCTGCTGCCCACAGCTGTTTTATTGAAGGAAAAGCTCACTGCGGTATCAGGAGGCATCAGGACGTTTAACTCAGCAGCCCCTGTGAAGTGCAGCACCAGCGCGCTAAGAGCTGTGCCTTTTACGCAGATGAGAAAGGAACACATGTTGTCGGGGATAATTAGGCTCTGTGTTTTGTTCTGATGCCGGCCTTCGGGAAGCTGCGATTCGATGGCGTGGATATGGAGGCGACTTGTTGCATGTGGAGTTTGCATGTCACCTTGTGGGGCTCGTCCTTTACACGCTAAAAAAGATCAACAGTTTGGATTTCCTGCCCAATAAAATAATGTAAATGACCAGGCGCAGCTCTGAATGAAGTCTGAGGGGTTTTCCAGCTGACGAGTCAAAGTGACTAATAGGCTAATGAAAAATGTGTCGACAAAGACTTTTTTCGCCGACTAGCATTTAGTCGACTAATTGGGGGAGCCCTAGGTATTATTATAATTATTACTATTTATTCTTCATTGTGACTATCTTATCTTAGTTGTTATTATCTTGCCTTTGTGGATAATATCTTATCGTCATTGTTATTATTTTATCTTGGTTGTTATTACCGTAGATATATATATATATATGTATCTTTGTTTTTTATTCATTTATTTGTATTGCTACTCTCTTATCATTGTTGTGACAAGAGAGTAGCAATACAAATCACTTAATAATAACTTCTCCATTGTTATTATCTTGTTTTTTTATCTACATTATTAGCTTTTTTCATTTATATAATCCTTTCTTCCTTTTTATTATCTTATCTTCTACTTCGTACATGTCTTCCTTGATATTGTTTTTAGAATTCCTTGTTATTTTCCAACAACATCGCAGTCCCTGTGCAAGACTATGTATCATTAGTGCAAAAGTTCCCATGAAAACATCATGTCCTCATTAAAGTCAAAGCCCCATGAATGAAGAAGTCTTTGAAAGAAAGTCGGAGTTCAGTCAAAGTCCGGCTCGTGGATTCGGTTATTTCCGTTTTCTAAAGAATTGCTCATACATATAAGTACACCCACTCAGACGTTTGTCATTATAATATATCACTAACAAGTGAATTGTAATAATATGATTATTTTTTATATATTGTCTTTGTTGCATACATTTTATTTATATTTCAAGCACAGTGTTTGGAAAACTTAAAAGTTGAATTGAATTTATACAAAAATAAAGTTTAAATTGAACCAAACTCTTTTTCCATCCAGGTGGACCCCATGTTTATGGTTCCAGCTCCCCCTGCTCCAGGCCACCCCGTGGCCCCTGGATCCTCTCTACCCTCAACCCCTTCCTTCTCCCTTCCGGCCCTGCCCATCTCTAACCCCAAGCAGCTGGCGGTGAGGACGAGGTCTATAGGCACCAACACGCATGATGGAGGCGTCTCAGGAGCAGTGGAGGGGGACTCAGACTGTCTGGGGCCCTGCCTGCCCGGGACCAGTGTCAACCTGGAGGGCATCGTCTGGCACGAGACTGATGAGGGTAAGGAGTATTTCTGAAAAATAATTGGGATATCTGTATCTCTAGTGACACTATAGTAACATGAAAAAGGGCTGCTTCACCAACATAAAAATAAAACGGTATATTATTTAGTGTTATCAGAAACTATGACATATCCACTTCTGAGATTAATATAATAAAATATAAATAAATTCCACAAGGTAGAAAAATATATTTTTTAATTAAACTGATCAATTTTGAACTTTATTTTTGTAAGGGGTCAAGGAGGAAAAGGATATTTCCAGATTTTGCATGCTTTCATACACTTTTTATAGCTGTGAACACTTTCCAAAATGTAAAGCAATTTAACATCCCAGAAAGCAACATTTGTGTAACCCTACAGTTGTATGTATTTGGCATGCTGATATAATTCCAGACATTTCACCTTTGAGATAAGAAGATACAAAAAAATCAAAGGTCTTAAAAAAGAGAGTAAGTGAACATGAATGTTTGAATGATTCTAGTCTGTGCTGGTGATGGCTTGGATAGGCTAATGTGTCAAATATGAGTTAGAGAAATACATTTCTTGAGGCTTAGTGTAAGGCAAGATGGTGAAAATGAGTTTGACTTTTATTTACCTCAATGTGTGAAATGGTAAATGGACTGTATTTATATAGCGCTTTATCGAGTCTACTGTATAAAGACTGGATAAAGCGCTATACATTTATAAGTCATCATTCAATCGATTCACACCCCATTCAATCTAACATTCACACACATTCACACAGCGTTGGCCATCGGGAGCAACTCAGGATTAAGTATCTTTCCAAGGATTCATCAACATGTTGACTGCAGCCTAAACAAAAAGCTCAGACTTACCTTTCACTGCACTATTGTGGGGCGGCTGGCCCCTGCATGCCACATATCAAAGTGTCCTTGGACCAGATACTGAACCCCAGATAAGTCCCAATGTGAGTGCATGTCAATCTTTATTGGCTTCATTATTGTGTGGCAACTGGTACGGTACGGCCACAAGAGTGTGAATGCTTGCTTTTGCGATAAAGTGCTTTAAATGGTTGCTTACGTTTTTTTATTGCATCAGTTTAGCATTTCGTTTTAGTCCACCTTATTAAAAAGTGATGTGTTGTTTGCCAGATATATTATGCAAGGAAGACTGTAATTGGGGACTTTTCATTTTTAAGGCTGTACAAGGACTGCATCCAAAATTGTGACAGCTCCAGAGAAACAGTCTGTCTGGACTCAGTCAACACTTCTACCTCGTTAGGATCTATTTTCGTGTTCAAAGAACTGCTTTGTATTTCCCAAACGGAACCATCTTCCCAGAAGAATAACAGCAAAACTCAGTTCTTCATTGATGTAGCTGCAAAGTCTTAATCATAGGATGGAGTTGGTTCGGTGGTCAGAATGTGACATACATACAGTATGGAAAATCGGTCAAGTGGTTGTCACACGTTGGTGTTTATGGGGATAATGATGACTAGCATCTATTAAAATGGTTTCTGGCGTCAGATGAGACAATCCTCCTGGTCCTGGTTGGGTTTGATTTACATTTGATTATTCTGCTCTGATCTTTGCAGGTTGCACCACTTGCTTGGTTGATCGTCCTCTTGTAGTAAACATAATGACGTGTCTGTCAGAATGGAAGAGGTGGTATACAACTTACAGGGCTCGGCGGTATGAAAAAAACCTCATATCATGGTAAATTATAACGGTATCAGGGTATATCATGGTATTTATTTATTTTTCAGTGATTAGAAATGTATTAACATTTAAATGTTTCGGTATCAAACGGTATACCGCCCAGCACTAACTTACACCACACTAGCAATGAGTGTTTGAAAAAACCCTGAAATACGTCAAAGCATCAGGGTGCAATGCTGTCCTGTTTCCCAAGTCCACATGTATTGAATTACAGGAAAGGTAAGGAGCAAAGCAGGTTCAGTAAAATGGATGGACATTCAGTCTAAAGTTAAATGCTTTCAACGGTACAAGAGTTTCCAAGTTTCTGGTGAAGATTTAGAAATGGTATGTCAGAAGAGTTATCATTGGAGATTTTGTTACAGATGGATTTGAATCAGGTTTAGTAGAGTGATGCTTTTTGTCCTTTCATATTAAGAGGTGAGTCAGTAGGTCCGTTACCATTCCTGTCTTTGTGTGTGCATTGGAATACACAAAAAGTGAGTGGAAAAGCCATACATCTTTACATTTTGTAAAAAAGTTTAACGCTTTGCTGAGGGAGAGGTGCAATGGAATCATATTTAGCTGATATATAAAGACAGGGTTTCCCACACATAGACTATACTTGGGCGGGCCGCCCAGGTATATTAACGGCCGCCCAAGTATATTTCGCGACCCATTTAGTTTTTTTTTTTTTTTTTTATACAATTTTTTTTTTATATATTTTTTTTTTATTCGTCCGTGACCACGACGCCATCTGCGATCGATTAACTTGTAGACAATGATCCCTCGCTCCCTTGCTCTGATCTCGCCTCCTTCTGGCCTGTTAAGTGGCCTGCCTCACACAGGGTGACTGGCTGTCCACATGATGTGGCCTGCCGACATGGCCACTGTCATACAGATCATAAATCAAAGCCCTTGATTGGTCTCTGTGTGTCATTCAAGCTCGGGATAACCTCAGCTCAGGTGAGGTAAAGGACTCTCTGAGTGTTTAGATAGTTAACTTAGTCTAAGTTCTCAGTGGGTCTCAAACGGTGTGGTCACCATTTATGTAAACACATATTTCCATTTGAGAGGGTAGTGATTGGTCTAATGGATAGTGAGGTGGGCTGAAGATCGGAAGGCTGTGAGTTCAAATCCCGCCAGGAACACCACCACTAGTGTGCCCTTGAGTAAGGCACTTAGCCCTTAGTTACTCCAGGGAGAATGTCCCTGTAATCGGTCATTATAAGTCGCTTTGGATAAAAAGCGTCAGCTAAATGAAATGTAATGTGATTAGTAAAATATGCATGAATAAATAAATAAAAAGTTAACTAGGTGAAAAAAGGTAAGATACACTTTTAAAACTTGTTGAGAGAAAACTAGTCTTTGCTGCTGCCTCAAAGAGGAGCAGGGGGAGAGGAGGGAGACAGGAGAGGCTGATTCAGGAGCACAGACACACTCACAACTATAAATGAACCAAAACTAAATTAATAAACAAGTTTCAGTGTTTTTTTCATATTGGAAATGGTATGTTATTGGTTATGGCCATGATTTTATGATTATTGAAATGTATACAGTTCTGTTAAATATAGGTGTTTCCATAGATCTAGTCTCTTTATTTTCCCCTCAAAATGCACCAGGGGGGGCATGCCCCTGGACCCCCCTAGAGGATTTGAGGTCGACCCCCACTAAAAATCACATGGATAGGTTCCTAAATACATTAATAAATACATAAATTTTTTAAAATAGTAACCCATTTCCATATGTTCATGTGTGGGTAGTAGATTTAAACTATAGGGCTATCATTATGGACCCTGCCTGTACCTATACCTGTTCGCTCTGCCATCGCGTGAAGGGTCTGCTAACAAGCGACCAACAGAAAGGTTAATGTTGTTGCACGTCACCTCAACCCCCCCCGCTACCACCACCCCCCAAAGTATATTTCAGATCTGTGGGAAACACTGGCAGTTAATGGACCAGCACCAGAGGCATTCCCATACACACAGGCGTCGGAGCTGTTCTTCATGAAATCCCAGAAGGATGAAGTGCTCTGACAAACAGTGCCATCTTTGCGCAAAATGATTATACCGGAATGAAAAGTCAATAAATAATGTTGTTAAAACTTTTTCTTTTTTTTCGCGCACCCCCCCCCCCCTTGCCACCACCCGCCCAAGTATATTTCATATCTGTGGGAAACACTGAAAGAATAAGAAGATGTAAAGCGGGCCAACTGGCGCTCCTTCAATTGCTGTATGTCCATTATGCTTTATTCTTCTAAAAATGTTTTCCAGCCGAACAAATGGCGCCAAATACTGCTCACCTCGAACAACTCCTCGAAATTGCCTAACAGTAGTTGATGGAAAGAAACATTAATTTACGTTTTCTCAAAAGTTGGGTTTAAAAATAATCTTTTTATAATCAGTGAGGAGAGTTTAAAACAGGTTGCTTCAGTTTAAAAAAAAAGAAAAAGTGTAGTTCCACTCAAATCACCTTACCATACATTCCGTATATTAGGCTATTGATACCTTCTTTTGTCTACGAAAAACTGTGCCATGTTTGTTTTATGCTTGTAAACTGACATACCTATACTAATATCAGATCCCAAAATGTTGCTATGCTGTATTTTTCATTGAAAAACGGTTTGCCTCAACCACACAGCATTACTTCTTCTATTCTTCACCACTTTGTTAGAGGAATTTGGATCCAAAAAGCTGGATATCTTAACAAAGTTTACCCCCTAAAAAGATGAATTCACCCGTTTCTGCCAAATGAAATTGGGTGTTAGAAAGAGTGTGGGTTTGAAAAACATATGCCACAATTACAGATGGATAGTTCTTATCTTTTTCCTTCAAGACACTTTCCAAAATTACCAAAAGTGTGAACGATGTATTTTTAAACATGTGTCGACTTCCTCATGAGGAAATATTTTGGCGTTGAGCTTTCCAAAAGTCCATCACAAGAAGAGCCAAAAACTCATCCAACACTACAAAATGATACCATGGGAGTACCGGGCGGGGGATAAGACGGCCTGATGATTCACCCGCCACTTTTGACGCAATTGCACTTTGATAGGCCGTTAACGAGGACGGCACTCAGCACGGCGGCCTCTCTGCGGAGGTGTAATACCTGACTGCAGGCTGCTAATGAATAATCCCATCTCTCTGTGCCCATCTTGCACTGCCAGCCGCAGGGCCTCTGAAGTGGAGCGTTGAGTTTGGCGGGGAGGCGTTTGTATCCCAGCCTAGTATTAATTACCATGAACTACTCCATCCGGCCAGGCAAAGAAAAGGAGAAGCAATACAAACAAACATAGCATAGGGGAATATGCTCGTAAACAGACCAGAATGATGGAGAGAGGTGAA